TTTGAGTCCAAGAAGCTAAATATAAGATAAAAGCCAGGGACAGCTGCATCAAATATATTTGAGGAAGTGAGCTACAATCCTCTATGATTCTGGCAACGAAGAAACTGTTATCACGTGAAGCTACATCCTTCTTTTCTTTTTTTCTTTTGTTTTCTCTTATCCTCATGAGGATAAGAATCTTACTCAGCATTTTTGGCTGCTATCATCTGTTTCTAGTATATTTCCCTTAGTATTGGAATACAGTATAGAGAAATGGTTATAGTCTTGAATAGAACCAAAACCAACCATGCTTAAGGCATAGGGGTGGAGCAAACACCTGTACCGTAGATTTTAATGCTATTTTTCTTCACATAAAAAACCTTGTTTTTTTTTAATCTCATCTAAATTCTAAAATATCTCGACTACTGTTTGTTTATGATGAGCTGATGAAGGGATGGCATTCCTTTAGTACCTCATTATATTATGACGTGATAGTTATTGCTTGGATTTGAATCTTGATCTTAACCACAAAAACCAGTGATAGATATTTGCCTTCCTTATTGTTCTTTTTGTTTTGTGTCTGAAGCTTTTGAAGTTTTCTGTGCTGATAAGGATTATTCTTGAATGTTACTCATTGTTTTTAATCAGGCGTGACCGATACTAGATGCATGAATGCTGCCCAAGAAGAAAATGAATACGAAACCGTTCTTGCTTATGTAAGCCAACTTATATAGGGGAGTAGCATTCCTCGGTTATGTTATTTGATAGTTTGTCATGTGGTTGTATCAACATGTTTAAGAGGGTATTTGTTGTTTTTGGTTCCTAGAGACTAGGAATTGAATCCTAAACTTGTGGTTAAGAGCATAAGTAATTTTATTACTAGATCATATGACTTATGGTTAAGAGGGTGTTTGTTACTTGGTGATGTGTGTTTGGTATTCAGTATCATTAGAGATGTAAGTTTGCTTGATTTTACTATTCCAATTTCCATGTCAGGCAAATTTTAAGTTAAGAATCGAAAAGGAGAATTAAAGGTTGAATTTAATTACTGAAAACTCTCTCTCCCCCCCCTTTTCTCTCCCTTCTCTCTTACTTCTGCTTCCTTCTCCGGCGCGGCATTTGTTTTGATCGGAAGCCTTTGAGCTTCCGAGGTTTTGATGCTTGAGCCACTGGGCTCCCCAGCCGCTCAAGCATGCTGGAGCCGGCATGTGCTCCCTCCTCCGATGACCCTTCGGGGTTATTCGGTTTCCTCTGATGACTCTTCGGTGTCTGTCGGTCTCTGGGTCCCTTTCCGGTGACCCCTTTAGGTTTTTTTTCTGTTTTTCTTGTTGTTTGTTTTACTTTATGTTTCTTGTATAGTTTCTTTGTCTCAAATCTGGTGACCCTCGGCTTTCCTGTAGATATTGGGAGGTGCTCGCTGTTTTTCCAGTTCTGGCCACCGTCGGACTGGATCTCTGCTGCGGCGTCCTGGAGATCTTGCGCCATCCTCTCCAGAGTAGTTTGAAGGGTGTCTCATGGCTGGATCGGTCGACCTTAGGTTGCTCGAGTGATTTCACCTCTCTTCCTCCCATGCATCGGGCCTACTCTGCTTTACTTCTCCAGTTTGTTCTTTTCTGTGTTTGTTACCCTTGTCCTTTTAGATAAGGACTGGTTGTAGATGCTGTATGGCAGTTCCTTAATGCAATGCTAATTCCTTTTTCTCAGAATAAAAAAAAAAAAAAAGGTTGAATTTTATTTTCTGCTTTGACAGCTCGATATTAAGTTGGCAAGAAAATTGAGGATACTGGAAACATGATTCACATAATTATATCTAGATTCAGTCTCATCTTAATGGTAATCATGCATGATTGGGTGTGAATTGATATGCATGAATGAATTCTGTAAGAAAAGAAAAAATTTTTGTAATTCTCAATCATTTGCTGTGTAAAAAGCGATGGATTAAATTACAACTAAAACTTAAATGGGAAACTGCAAGGAGTGTAAGTTTATCCATTGATATGAAACATAACTTAGAGAATCATCTATAAAGAAAGGAGTGTGCTCTCAGTATGCAAATGCACATCTCCAATATGCAAAGTGGCTCAATTGGTCTCATCTTGTGTAGCTTATTATCACACACAAGGTAAAAAAATGTGAATCTCAAAGGAATCTAGGT